TTTCCGTTATTTCCTTCCTTATAAATCTCCCGGTATCTCCCCAACCTGATTTAGCTCAGTGCGGAATAAATGACATCGTCCAACGACAAAATAAAAAGGCATCGGCCGTAGCCGACTCTGGTTTCTTATATCCGCGCAAAGCTCTGGACATTTTCCAGGAAAATTCCAGCAACAGAGACGTTTTCTATTACTCATTCTCCGCGACGCGAGTTCTATCCTATAAAATCCGAGTTATTGCTATTTTGGTAGTGTTTGGTGTAGCGTAAACAATGTAATTTTTCTTTTTCTGCAGTATGTACCTACAATATTTGTTGGTCCGGTCCTATAAATGTAATAATTCTTTTGAAGGTAATTGTTAAATATTCATGAACTGCACATGTTTTGATGCAAAACTATCATACGTTATTGTTAATCTCGTATTTAGTATTAATATGAAGAGAGAGTTAAGAAAATATGAAAATATACAGGGTTGTTCACCACATACGACACGGAGTATTGTAGCTAAAGGATTAGATTTTTACAAATTGTAAGTTTTGGGTTCGTTGAAGGACTATTAAAGCTACAATTTAAAAATATTTTTACAAGATACAGAGTGTCCCAAATAAGTAAAAAATATTATAGTTGTATTTTTTTAAATAGAACAGCCTGTATATTATTCTATTTTTGGATTCTACGATTGAAATAAAGGTAAATTTGATTAAGGTTTATCACACTTAAACCTTACCGTTTTTGAAATATTTTCAATTTTATGAAATTGCAGAAAAATTTAACGCTTATTTCTCCAAGGGCATCAAAGTTTTTAATACTAAATATTTACTGAAGATTATTTATTGGTCATATATTGTGTTGCAATAATAAAAATTTTACTACCTGATACAGAGTGTCCAAATTTTTTTATTAAATAATTACTAGCTTTAAACGGCAATAACTTGTTTAATTTAAATTGAACACCCTATATATTTTACATGAATCAGATGCATAATGTAATTGTCTATCAAATTGTATTGTTCCATTTTTTACCCATCTCTTCAAGTTTTCATAGAAGATGCATTTTCTTATATTTAGACCTCATTTATCACTATACCCATGGAATATTGACATTTTAGCTTATTTTTAAAGATGTAACAAATTTTCAAAGGGTACATATACTAATATTGTTGATATAGTTCGCTTATTTAATTAAATAATAAAAAAAAACTGTTTAAATATTTTTTGTTAAAGAGGACCAATTAATATGATCCCAGTATTCAAACTACATTAATTGACATTTTGAGACATTCATTTTCATAACTTATTATTATATTGATTTCTGAGCCAAATCCACATTTATTTAGAATAATTTATTAATTAAAACAATTTAAAAGTATGTAATTAACTTATTTTTGTTTTTTTTTTGGTAGGAAATAATGGTGGTATATTTAATTGGTATACTCTTTTACAAAGATTTAAATAGTTTTTTTGTATGCCAATGGGCATGCAATATTTACCACCTGTACATTTTGTACATATTATGGTGCTATAAAAAAATCTGAAATGTCAATATTCCATGGGTATAGTGATAAATGAGGTCTAAATTATAACAAAATGCAATTTCTACGAAAACTTGAAGAGATAGGTAAAAATGGTATAATACAATTTGATAGACAATTACATTGTGCATCTGATTCACGTAAAATATATAGGGTGTTCCATTTAAATGAAACAAGTTATTGCCGTTTAAAGCTAGTAATTATTTAATATAAATTTTTGGACACTCTGTATAAGGTAGTAAAATTTTTATTATTGCAACACAATATCTGATCAATAAATAATCCTCAGTAAATATTTAGTATTAAAAACTTTGATACCCTAGGAGAAATAAAGCCTTAAAATTTTTACTGCAATTTCATAAAATTGAAAATATTTCAAAAACGGTAAGGTTTAAGTGTGATAAACCTTAATAAAATTTACATTTATTTCAATCGTAGAATCCAAAAATAGAATAATATACAGGGTGTTCCATTTAAAAAAATACAACTATAATATTTTTTACTTATTTGGGGCACTCTGTATCTTGTAAAAATATTTTTAAATTGTAGCTCTAATAGGCCTTCAACAAACCCAAAACTTACAATTTGTAAAAATCTAATCGTTTAGCTACAATACTCCGTGTCGTATGTGGTGAACAACCCTGTAGATATAATTATTACCATCTTTCAAGGAATATCATCATCATTTTCAACTTATCCAACTATTTCCAATCATGATGTAGCCTCCCTCGCATTTTAGTTCCTCTCTTTGTAGTTGGACCCGTAATATCATCAGATTTGGTCCCATCACAGGTTTGGTCTTCTTCTAGGTCTCTTAATTCCTCGTGGATACCATGCTGTAATTTTTGTAGTCCATCTGTAGTCCGTCCTTCTTGCCAGGTGTCCTGCCCATTGCTACTTAAAGGATTTAATTCTATGGATGACATTCTTTTTTAGTATCCACTCTATTCTTTTAGGTCTCTCTTGGTTATTCTCAGCATATTTCGTTCCATTGGTCATTGTGCGACCTGCAGTTTCCTTATAATGTCCGTTTTAAGTGTCCAGATTTCGCACACATAGGTCATGACTGGTAGTATATACATATCGGTCAAATGTTTTCTTCTTTAGATAAAGTGGCATTCTAGATTTGTATTATCGAATTGAATATTGGGAATCGGTACCTCTATCCGATGAATACCTGTGCCCCGCAGCAGCTTGAGCAGGTCCATGATAGGATGGGAACAGAGTTCCTCCGGTTCTAGCCTTATTTTCTCAAAAAAAAAGATCACTTGCAGTCCAAAACCTCGCAGTGGCATATTATGTGCTCTGCTGTGTCAGGATCTTTACCGTAAAGTTTTCAGTAAAGGCTTCCTTGACAGAGCTTTAGCTTGTTCCAGGTCCGTCTGGTTGCTTGTCCGTCTGGCTTTCGAAGCAGAAGCGTCTCGAACTCCAACAAATCTCCCTCCACTCTACCTTCGTATGTAAATAATAGTATCACTCACCAGGGTTGCCACAAGCTACAGAGTTGTGTATTTTGTTACATATTTGCTTCAATGATTGCACAGCTACACCACAATCGCCTGAGCTACACATCTTGAGAATTTAAATATTTCGTATAAACAGTAAATCAACTGACAAAAGTTGAATTTTTTGCTTTTAAGTTATCTAAGGGTGTATTCCGTTGCTTACCTTGGTTATGGTTTTATGTTCCGTTTCTATCCGTTTCCTGAAAGTTTTCTTATTACGTATCATGGTTCCTGAAAAATTCGGTTATAACTGTCACCAAACTAACCAGTGCGAGAAGGCTGGTTTTTCTGGTTTTGTTTGTCAATCAATGTCATTTAACTGACAGAATATTGGAAGTTCGAGTAAAATTCTCATTTAATTTCTAAAAATTGTAATAATATTTTGTATTTACATCCCAAAGCAATGGAGGTAGGCAGTAAAGGTAAATAAATTTCATTAACTAAATAGAATGACTTTTTAGGACCATTTAAACTTATCATGCAGCCATTGTTTCTTAAAGTCAGGAACATTTAAAGAAAACATGAAAAACAAGACAAGAAGTAATCGTGAATGTTTAGTAAGCTATAAAAATATAAATATTGATTAGATTTGTTTATTTATTATTGATCTGTTTTAATATTGGACCTGCAAATCTTCACTTGGGCTGTCTAACGAGTTTAACAGTTTATTAATAAAGTACTTTTCAATATTAAACTCTATTGAAAAGAAGAAGCAAACGTAAAGCAGAGAATAGGTACATTAAAAAGGCATAAAAGATAAATTTTATAATAGAGGTATTGAAATTTAGAAAACGTCAACATTTGACGTTTCCAGTATTTTACCAAACCGTTCCGTATCAAACCGATGTTTTTCAGGAACCGCTCTTTACCGTAGTTTACCGGTCTGGTTCGCCTGGTTTTGCTACGGAATACTGCCTAAGTTAGTACATCAAAAGAGGCCGCAAGTGTAGATACTTTAAATTTTGAACTGACTAATATCATTTTCCGTCATCAATGTTCAGGTGTTCAGTAAAATATCAAAGTATGAACTGAGTCATGAGTAAAAGACAATAGTCATTAGTTAAAACGGTAAATAGATAGGATTGCTTAACCCCATAAATAATACATAATACGTACTTTGGCCAAACTTCACGGTAAGGTCGCGATGATTAACTCCCCTCCTAAACATTCTACGTCACTGTAGTTTACAGTCTCACTTCCTTTCGTTTGAATAGGTAAATATTATTCAATTCCTATTTCACTTCCCCCTATGTCCGCAAAGACTGTATCAATTCCTATGGACAAATTTGGCCGATTAAACAGTACAGAATAGTTTACAGTTTTTAAACAGAATTAACCGGTCTAATTTGTCCATAAAATCGTTACTTTGGGGGTTTCAATTTGACGTCACTGCAATCCTTGCCGGCATGAGAGGAAATGAAATGGGAAATGAATATATTGACGTATACAAATAAGGCTGTATTCCGTTGCAAAACCAGGCGAACCAGACCGGTAAACTACGGTAAAGAGCGGTTCCTGAAAAACATCGGTTTGATACGGAACGGTTTGGTAAAATACTGGAAACGTCAAAAATGTTGACGTTTTCTAAATTTCAATACCTCTATTATAAAATTTATCTTTTATGCATTTTTAATGTACCTATTCTCTACTTTTACGTTTGCTTCTTCTTTTCAATGAAGTTTGGAGTTTAATATTGAAACGTACTTTAATTATAAACTGTAAATAATAAAAAATTAACTAATGAGACGCTTCCGCGTATTGCACGGTCTTAGGTATCTTCATTTTAGATTTATCTATACCTTATGATATTAAACATAGAATTTTAACTATACAGAATATAGAAATAGCAAGGTAATGACATGTAATGACTCTTCAACATTTTTGAAACAATATTACGAAAATATACACCAAAGAATATCGAAATATAAGAGAATATAAAATAAAATTTCGTTTTCTTTTCAGTGCATCTCACAACTCCGGGACTTGCAAGTTTAATAATATCTCCATCAGTTCCCGGAGAATATTCTGGGAATGTGCAGAAAATGGAGGATTGTGGACCTGGAGTTTTCCAAACTTTTGTAAAACAGTCTTCGTTGACGTTCAATTGGACATCGAAGCCCGACGAATATGTGTCACACTCAAATTTGTCATTTCGGTAAGTGAAAACGAAGATTTCTTTCTCTGAAAAGTTATACAGAGGTATTTACTAGGGAGGGGTGATAATGTGATTATCTATCGATCGTTAGTTATCGATGTATCGTTAACTATAGAATTATCGAGTGGTGTCTCACTTCACAGGCGAGGGCACAAAAAGTAATTTTTACTCCGAATAGAACATGCGTTTTTTTTGCAAATGCCACAAATAATTTTTTAAACAATTTCAAACGTTTGAAATAATATAAAATATTTAAAAGTCATACCTTGTATGTAATTATATATCGAAAAACTATAGGTCCGCTCGTTGACTTTGACACTTTATGTCAGTTTAATAATATATTTTCGTAAACTCTGTTTTTTTTTCTCAGGTAAGATTTCGACAGACGATGACAGAAGAAAAGCAGATGGCAGTCCCATACCAATCTACTTATTTTACTAAAAAAAGTTTCTAATAATTTTTTAAGTTAACTATGGATGGGTTTAAATATAAATCCGTCATACGTCGTCTCTTGTTGTTTTTAACCTGTTTTATTGATTTATTTCAAAAATGACAGATCGTATTTCAATTTTATTGGTTTGACGGAACGATGAACGACAAACGGGCGCCAATGCGTATGAACTCGCCTTTAGATTTTTGACACTTGTCAAAGTATTGCCAAATTATAGGTTATAATTTTGTGTCAGCTTTTGTCAAATACCCTGCGTTTTGGAAGATGATGCATTTTGATTCGTGTTATTACGTGTGTTTTGTGTCTTTTGAAGTCAAGTGGAGGAAAAATCGAGTGAAAATTAACTCAGCACAGTTTATGGTTAATACTCGTTGCCCAGGCAGAAAGTCTTATACACCAATAAAGTTACCATCAATAAAGTTCGTATACCATCTCGTCGTAGATAAGTGCATCTCGAATATGGTAGAAGGACCATACTAAACACATACTAAAAACTGGAGTAGCTGTAAAATATCGACATTACACGATAGGTAAATAATGGCTTTTAGTACTGCAGCTGCAGAAAAATAATGTCAAAAGGTACTAGTTTAAAAAATTAAGATTAAAGTTAATTATTAACCTTTAAGGTATAAAAATTATTATTATTAATAAAATAGTTTGTTTTATTTATGTTGTTTTATTTATTCCCGCGGAATATTACAAATTTGTATTTGTACATAAGTTATATTGATAAATATAATCATAAATGCGGGTAGTTTCATAAAGCTTGAAAGTAAGAAATAGTTATTTTTTATATTTTTTTGGTATGTGGTGTCTTGTTCTTGTTTGTTTTGTATTAACACATAGGTACCGTTTGTTATTAAATTAAATAACTCGATAACATTTTTTCAGTTTTCTACAGTTTTTTTTTACAATATTTTGAATAGTTTGTTTTATTTATGTTGTTTTATTTATTCCCGCGGAATATTACAAATTTGTATTTGTACATAAGTTATATTGATAAATATAATCATAAATGTGGGAAGTTTCATAAAGCTTGAAAGTAAGAAATAGTTCTTTTTTATATTTTTTTGGTATGTGGTGTCTTATTCTTGTTTGTTTTGTATTAACACATAGGTACCGTTTGTTATTAAATAAAATAACATTTTTTCAGTTTTATACAGTTTTTTTACAATATTTTTAAGTAATCACTTGTCAGTAGTTGTCAGTCAAATTTTAAATATATTAATTTCCTGCTAGGCGTTCTAGTTATACCAACTTATTTCTTTGTAAAATAAAATAAACTACTTTGTAATTAAAATGACAGACATCTATCACTGTCAAGGATCTTCTCGTTAGACAGACTTTACTTTTATGCTTAGGCGTTGCTTAGGCGTAAAAGTGCTTTACTTTTATGCCTAGGCGATAAAATGACTTTTTTTATAAAAAAATAATATTTTTGTGACGTTTGAAAATAGTTATTTGTGTACCAAGGCCGTAAAGTTGATGTTTTTTGGCCGAATCTGAAATTTGCGGTGCAAGGAAATTTCAGGAGAGGACAAAAAAGATCATACGGCCGAGGTGCACACAAATTTTTTTAAGCGAGTGTCTTTTGAAGTAAGTAACAATTTTTTTACAATTTCGTATTGGCGGCTTCATAAATTTCAGCTGGATTGTCACTATCACTGTTACTTATATTTTCTTTTTAACAACTATTTTTTATCACAGTATATCCCGTATAATGGGTTTTTTATTATTTGTTAGTTATTTATTTTAAATTTCATTTCACTGATAGAAACGGAAATCTTGTAAATAAACAGCCTAGCAACGGAACCTTTTCTTTTGTTTTATGGGTAAATAATCCAAACATGCAAATTAAGTGTGTCTAGTAGGCCGCCTTTATAATTTGACAATCTTAATATCGGATGTGGAAATAACTCAAATAAGTAAATTAAATATGTCTAGTATAGGCTGCTCTCATAATGACTTTGTTTGCAAAAGCGGCCAAAAAAGATACACTTTCGGTACGGTAATAGATCCGTAAAACTTATAAAAAGAATATAAATATCTGGATTATGACATTAAAACTTCAAAATTTTGATTATGACTAGTATTAATTTTTGATTAACGGCAAATTTTTTGCTGATTTATTATGTTAAAGAAGCAAAGAATCTATTTCGTTCAATGCTACGGAAAAGGTAATGAAATTGCAATAAATAGCAATGACATTTTATTGACTTTCCTATAAAAATATCTCTTATTGCTACTTGCTCTTTATTAAATTTGTTTCGTACCTACCCTACATCCAAAACAACAACACTTCTCCCTTCTGAAGACAGTTTACCTTTAACCAAATTTATTATTTGCACCGTTCAATGGAAATATTGACTTTCCGAACCCATATTTCGCTCGCTGTATGTAAATTTGCCAACATGTCAAATCGGCCGCCTCATGAAAATGTAGATCAAACATATCGTTTCCACGTAAATACGAAATTTGAAAGGGGGAAATATTCAATGTCGCCGTTTTTTCTACACCGTTTTATATTAATGGTTCTATCAAATTTCCATACGATTTCTTGTCTCCGGGTTATATACTAAGTTTTGAATATCTCAGATGTTAAAAATAGAAGATGGTATATTATGGCATAGAAAAAAATAAGATCATATATAACATAGAAAAAATGAAACGCCTCTTGATGGTCTAGGGGCTGTGAAACATGACTTATAAAATTGTGTATGACAAAATGCTTGTGATATCTGGTACCCGCACAAAAAACATTGACAAATAAGCTATTATTACTGAAAATATGAATAAGTTTGTAAAAATCTGAAAATTTTTGGGCTAAGGAATGTGTGCCTGGTTTTTTTATCATCATAAAATATGCCAAAGTTCCAAAGTGTGATAGCTGTTGATTCTATCTTTTTAATGAACTTTGAAACATAAAAATATATTAAATTTTAACCTTTAGTTATTAAACAAAATTTGTCCTATAAATAGCTGAATACACACGTAAATACTTATTGGGAGCAATAAATTGTACCAAATATTTGTTTTGGTTTGGTTTGGTTTGACGATTTATCTACGTTAAGGCAAATCTATCAGATAAATCTTAGTGATGACACTAATTCAAAGTTTTATTGAAACGAATTATCGTTCAAAGTTTATCTGGGTGTTTATTCGTTGCGTCTGTGTCGTTTATAAATATTTACTCTTAAATTTGTTATGATTTATCTGTGATCGTTGATTTTTCGGAAATCCAAAAAATCTGAGCGATTTACTTGTTACTTGTAGATGTACTTTCCTTTCAGTAGTTCCTTTTTTCAGTTCTTACCCTAGTATCCTACAGGCAGAAATCTACGCTATCGAGAGATGCGTACAACTTATCTTAGATAGGAACTATCGGAAACAAGAAATAGCCATCTTATCTGATAGTCAAGCAGCGTTAAAGGCGATCAACTCAGTATCAATCAATTCGAAATTGGTCAAAGAATGCATAGAGAAGCTGAATAAATTAGGCAAAAAAACAAAGTCCTCCTACACTGGGTGCCTGCTCACCAAGGGATAGAAGGCAATGAAAAAGCAAATAATCTAGCTAGGAAAGGAGCGAACACTCCACTAACTGGACCAGAACCGTTCTGCTTTCCAAGTGGTAACCAACTCAAGGCGGAACTCAAGGACTTGGAAGATTCCATCCGCTACCTGGAATGGAAATCTTGCAATGGTCTAGGACACTCGAAGAAGTTTCTGAGGGCTTATGATCAAGAAAAATCACAGATCTTCCTGGGTCTGAGTAAGAACAATCTTCGGATTGTCACGGGGTTTTTAACAGGACACTGGCTCCTCAATGAACACCTCAGTAGATTGAAACTAAGAAGAAATGGCGAATGCAGATTCTGTGGGGAAGATGGTGAAACACCAGTACACCTCATCACTGAGTGCGCCGAGACGACAACCATTCGTGCCATGAATTTTGGTACGACTGATATTGGAGATGGAGAACTACCCTCTATAAAACCGTCCCAGATACTGGCTTTTGTCAAAGCCCTGGGACTGTATGATGAGTTATGATTCAAGAAAGGGGGACACAATGGATCTGTAAGGTCGAAGTGATTAACCCCCCTCCCACTCATTCTAAATTCTAAAATTCTAATTCCTTTCAGTCAGTACTCTACGATTATAAAATGACGCCGAGGGAATAAAAAGTGGACAAAGTGGATTTAAGACCTTTGGTTAAAATATGCCTATTAGGAAAATAATTATACCATAGGTGGCTTATAAAGCGGTTGCAAAAGGATGATTCTGATGATTTTAAAAAGTTCCAACGCATAGATGAAGATACTTAAACATTTATTATCGTTGTGAGGTTGTTTCCCATTCCTTAACTTTCTACAAAATATCCTTCGATAATTTGCGACAGATTTGTCTGCCATTTTAATCGCTGTGTTAGTGTACTAGGCGAAATTTTTTTTATCGTCTTAAATTATTTGCCAAAATTCAAAATCAGCTATAGCTCAACACACACGAAGAGTTCTATCCGCCGGTTTGACCGATGTATCGTCGAATTGCA